TCATAGTGTCTCTTTCTTGATATGACAGTTGTTATATAGAAATAAAGGAAACATCTCATGGATCTCATGGTCTTCCTTTTTCAAATGGAATCTGCCCTGTATTCCATAGGGGAGGTTTTATAGTTGAAATATTCCATATTGGATATGTACTCTCTATATGTATCTCTACATTATGATATCTATTTAGTAATATTAGCATCAGATATGAAAAACATGAAATATCAATGAACTGCCTACCTTGATTAGTGTTTGCTATGACACACTCTTCATAAAAATATTAGGATTTGGGTCTGGAGAGATGGATCAGCAGCAGTTAAGAACACTTATTGCTCTTGTAGAGGACCCAGGTTCAGTTCCCAGCACCCATGTCCAACATCCTGCCGCACCTACAAAGCCAAAAGGATGCACATGGTACATAGACATACCTGCAAGCAAAGCACTCATAGACATAGAAATTAAACCACTGTTAAAGCTTAGCTGTAGAAGCCACGGGGACTCCTTCAGCACTGCTGGCACTCAGTAGCCCTCACCATCCAGTCTGCAGCGCTCAGCCATGTCCTTAGGTGACTGTGCAGTAACCTTGTGGAATAAAAGTTAGACCTACAGCTTGCTTCTGACAAAAGAACTGCCCTGCATTGCTGTGGAATGGTTCTGTTCCTAAGTTTCACTCATTGGAAAACAATTGGCTGGCACCAGAGATGGTGTGTGGGTTGCTAAAGGTGATACAGGGTGCCATTCATACTGTAGCATTATTTTTAAATTTATTTCTTTGAAATGATTTTCCACACAATATATTTTGATCATGTTTCCCTTACCCCAAGCATAAAATATGAAGTTCTCTTGCAGTGGCCTTGACAGTGCAGCAGAGCTAGATGATCCAGGAACAAGTTTCTAATACAATTATCTATTATGTTTTTTGTAGCATTGGATCTGCACTATAATTTTTTTTTATTTAAGCAGCTTAGAAATCTCATGAACTGTTCTTTGTCTAATTTACTGATGAGAGACCTGAGTATAAGTTATATGTTGGCTGCACAGCCAAATAATAAAGCAGAATGTGAAATACAGTGGTCTAGTTCCACTGTCTGTACTGTGTTATCTCTAAGAAAAAGTCAGAAAAATCTATAAAGGTTTTATATACATTTATATGCATATATAATATACATAGAAGCATATTATGCAATTCATAGATATTCTGCCTATGGCTCTACTCTGCTGCACAGTAACCTGGGGAAGAAGGGCTCATAATCAAATTCTGTACATTATTTTTTTATTTACAAGGATTTTTTAAAAATAATAACATCATTTAAAATTTTAAGAGAGATTTGTTGATGAGAAAGAAAGAATGAATTCTATCTGAATACCAAATCTCATCCACCATTTTGGTACCCATTGCCTGAGCATAATATGTTATTCGTAGATGTCTAACTATCTTAAAAATCACACTCAAGAGAGTGAATAGGAGCAAACTGGAATATACTGGCTACTGACCCCAAAGCCCAGCTACTTCTCTTGCCCCTTATTGGCAGCTAATCCAGGAAATGACTCTCACAGTGACTACTTTCTTATTCTTGTACAAGAAGAGCAACACCTAAAGAAATAGTAGTGGAATATGATGCAGTAACAGCACGTGCAAAGAAAAGTTACTTGCATGTAGTACACACAGAGTGTGCTTGTCTATTCATTCTGGAGGATCAGCTGCATTAGTAAAATCTTAAAGACCAGTAGCTTTTCTTTGACTGTTAGTTGTTTCCATAAGTCACTTAGAAACATACAGTCCACATGACAGCACTATTCAATAAGAAAATCAAAATTAACTTTGCTGAAAATTCATAACTATGTGATGATTTTTCTGTCTCATGGCATGCTAAACATAGATTTTTAGTTGGATTCCATGCCTCTAGCTCCATTTTAATTTCTACATTCCAGGAAGGATTACATAATAGCCTTAGTATGTGAAGCCAGGATGAGTGAGCTAGTGTTAGAGACTAAAGAGTAATAAGTACTGTGCTGAGTCAAGTCGAACACAACTCTCCTTTTAGTGGACAGCACTCTATGCTAGAGAGTAGTTTTCCTATAGCATTTGTTAATGTGGGGATCAGAAGCTTCGTATGTCTCCAGTCCTAGGACATGGAGAATCAGCTGATTGTTTACTTCTCAGAGAAGCCTGGAGTAAGTCTAAAGTCAGTTTAAGTGACGCGAGTGCTATGTTAGTCATGTGCTCTCTTATTCTCACACACGTCCACGTGACCAACGCAGCTTAAGACTTACTCTTTATGTTTCTGTTCTACATTATTAACTTATTAAAGTACACAGCTTCAATATCTCACCCTTTTATATTTCAAGAAAGAAGGAAAGTTAAGTGCTGCATCCACAATCTCGCTCTGTGGTGCTGACCTCAGGACCAGCCGAGTTGATGTATGCTGGGATATAAGGGATATAAGTTAAAAAGATTAAGCAATTAGTAGTTAAAACAATACAAGTATATAATTAAATGCTTTGACAGTTATAACAAAATACTATATGTGTGCTTTTCCCAGGATTAAAATATGACTGGAATTGGATAAGAATTGCTAAAGAAATATCTAACTATACTCATTTTTATATAGTACAAAAATCATGGTGCTAGACAGAAAATTTTATTTTATGACAAGGATGTGTTTGCATTTTCAAAGATACTTGAGGCTATGTAAATTTGTTTCTAATGGAAATTCTAAAGAAGACTCAAAGGAAATTCATGATTCAAGATTTTGTTGTAAGCAAAATTTTAGCAGGTTGCTGGTCTGGTAACTGAATCAAAGTATATAAAAGTACTGGACTTTTCTGTAACCTCACTTGCTCTGAAATAATGACACAGAGACCTGGCATGTTTATTAAAAGCATCAGGTACTCAGCTGGGCAAGATTTGCATCTATTCTAACCCAACTCTACTGGCTACTACCCAGCCTCCTGCCCTATTCCCTGCCATCTTAGTCTCCCTCTGGCTGCTTCTGCTCCATCCATGTACTCATGGCATCCTTCCCATGGCGACCTCCTCTGACTCTTCTCTCCATGCGGGATCCCCCCACACTGGAGTCAGAAGTCCCATCTTAACTCTCCTCCCCATCTATAGGCTGATCAGCTCTTTATTACCAAATCAGAAATGATGGAGAACAAATTTTACACAACATTGAGACAGGAGATACTTCAATAATCAAGACAGTACCAGTGTCCAAACTGCAACCAGATCTCTAGGCACAATGATCAGCATCTGAATACAAAGCGCACAAAACTAACCCCCAACAAAAGTGTCAATAAAACATTTATAATTAATAAATTATTCATTTCATAGTATTTACTTTAAGTGGGATTATTTACAAATTATTTGTGATAGTTCATTTTTCTGTATTTATCTTTTTTGATATTGAAATAAAAAGTTGAGCTTATGTTGATGTATGACATTCTATACATTTGTCTTAAAGATTCCCCACCCCTTTTTCTAAGAATATTGTCACAGAATTGGGATAACGAAACACTAGGCTACAAATACAGTAACAAGTGACTGTCGTGCACCATTGTGTTTGAGAAGTGTGAGTTAGTGGCTCACAGTAACTGACAGAGTACTGGGGTCTGGAGACATGACATCCATGACATAAGAGTTGTTTAAAGGTTATTTTTGAGCTATGCAAGACTGATTTTTCTATTTCAAGCTTCATGTGTTACCAATTTATTTATATTGTGATATCTGATGAAACTATGGCTTCTTTGAAAGTGTTGATTTAATATTGTCTTTAGAAGACTGTTTGAGGAACACAATGACTTCTAGGTTATTCTGCATTAAATAAAATAGCACCCATGTATGGGAGATGCACAGCTGTGACTATAGCCAGCTATGCTAATTTTGTATTGCCTTGTACCTCTTGTCTCATTCTTAGTAAGCTGGTAAAGAAGAGATGGCTGATATGGAAATGTGGCAGTTGGAGTGTACTAATTAGCTTAGACAAGCTGAGCAGTAACTAGGTGACATCTTCCCTACCCCAAAGTCCCTCCCAGTCTACCTAATGCCTATTCCTAACACTGGATTTGTCATTTTTTTAGATGTGGAGGTTATGTACTATGACTGGATTTCTCTTTGTTTACATGGCGCCCTTATGGACTAGCAGGGTCTGTGCTTTAAATATCTCCTAACCATCCAAACTTTAACCAAATGTATGCATTCGTGTATTAACCAATAATTTTTTTTTCAAAATTTCACATAGGGAGCACTATTCTCTGACGCATGCACTACCACTAACAGAATAGTTGTAGCAAACTGACTCCTAACTTAAACCACTTCCTAAACTAAAGCAATACTGATTTTGAGGATGGAAAGTGAATTCCATGAAGTTTGTGGATGAACTTTTAATTTTTCTATCATATAAAAATACTTATATTTACATTTTATATAAATACCATGATTTTAGATCAAGCATGACTTAAAAGATAAAATGGAAGTATTAATTTATACCAAATAATGGTTCTGTCAAATATTACACAAATATTTTGATTTGTTTAGAGATATACGTGTGTCTTATGTTCTAAAAATTAATTTTAAAACAATGGCAAGTGCAGAAGCCATGGCGTTGGGAGCTAGGAAGACCTTGTGTCCACATCCTAGCCTGGTCTCACAGTGTTGCTTCACCTGCAACACAGTCCTTCTGAGGAACAACATTCCTCTTTGTAGAAAAGTCAAGCCTTCTCCTGTAGCCCTAAGCAATCACTATTTTTAAGTAAAGAGTGTATAATGCTGTCTTGAAGGAAGAGCTTCAAGCACACAGAGATTACATCAAGTGAGTACACACTTTTAAAAATTGGGAAGGAAGATTTGTTTCTTCCGCTCTTGATGTTACTAAACATAGTTTAATTACCTCAGAGTCTTGATTTCGGAATAAAATTATTCACTTCTATCTTGAAAATCAGTTGCTATGATAAATATCAGTTAAATATTTCTCAAAATTTTAAAAATATATTTTATTTTTCAGCAAAGATGTCAAGGAAATTAAGCTTGCCAACTGACCTAAAGCCTGATTTAGGTAAGTAGAAGAAATATTCAAAGTAACTGAACCTTAAGGAGGAACTCTGACAGCTTCAGGAGACGGTTCTGCTCCTGGGTCAGTGGAAGATCCCTGAGTCAGAAGGCACAGTATAGAAGGAAAGTGGAGAGTCGAAGATGGGAAATTATTGTAGATCATACTGAGTCAGGGTTACAATGACAAGATGCTCAGTTGACTCAACACCTTTTGAAACAGTGTTTAGGATGCACACTCAGGGAAAACAAAACACATATTCACCTGCCTTCCTTGCTTTTCTTCAAATAAAATTTAGTCAAGCTTTCTTGATTATGGTTTAATTTTTATTAAAATTATTTACATCCCATTCGTTCAGAAACCTGTTTTAAATTCTACACATTTAATTCTATACTTACTATTTTTAAAAGAGGCAACTAGTTTTTCATGTAAAGATTATCACTGTTGACTTTGGTAGCAAATGAGGAATACTGTCTGATAATCCTTGTTTGTAGCTCGTTGATTATGAAGGCAGTGGGAAGTTCCTCACACATTATCCGTGTGTCTGTCTCATAGCCAGTCTTGGTATTTTATATTGACAAATGGGGTCACAGTAAAGATAGCAAGATCCACGTGGCACAGCAGTGGTTCTCAGCCTTCCTACAGTGCAGCCGTTTGATAACCTCTCACACTGGTTGGTGCTGACCCCCAACCATAGAAGTACTTGGCTGCTGCTTCACAACTGTGATTTCGCTACTGTTATAAAGTAAATATCTGGTATGTAGGATATCTGATATGCTCCCTAAAGGAGTTGTGACGCACAGGTTGAGAACCACCTTAGTATAGGCAAAGCCACATTTCTCTCTAAAAGTCCCCCTCCCTGAAATGTCTATTTTATTTGAAGAAGTAGCACTAAAGGATGCTTTCTGCTGAGCATTATCTTAGAGATGACTGAATTTCCCCACTCATTCCTCTTCCCGGTTATTAACTAGATTCTTTTTCAGACTGAGATGTTGGTCCTGTTCAACATACTAATTTTACCATCTCTCTCTGCCATTTCTTTTACCACCGCTTTTATACTGAGAGGAAGCATGTGGTAATTAGTATAGGCATACTAGTATACAGCTCTGATCAGAAAGTTCTGAGCATAGGAAATGTAATTTAGTTGAATTATATACTCTTAAAGGGAAGTGAAAATTAATCATAAAATACAATCTAACTCCTTGTTTCCAGATGATCAACATTCTTTATTATAAAAAAATGAAAATCTGAATTCCTTATAGATGTAGGTGTGTATGTGTGTGTGTCCATGTGAGTGTTTGTATGTCATTGTCAAAGAATAAGTTTAATTGAAAGCATTTATGTAAAACTGTAAAAGAATGATTTATAACTAAAAGTATAAAAGTCACAATTTGAACCCAAGTATTTTTTAGGCTTATGGTGTACATTTCTTAAGCTTACCATGTACATGTTTGCTCTAGAAGATGATAAAGGATTTTCACCACATGTGTGGTTTCAGTAACAATAAACATTGTCAGTTAAGCTGACTGTGATGCTTTCAGTATCTTAAAGGTCTCATATTCTCAAGTACTCATTTAGAAGTACTTTGGCACCACAGCACACACCTTTAATCTTTAATCCCGCCACTCAGGAGGATCTCTGTGAGTTCAAGGCCAGCCTGATCTACAGAGCAAGTTCTAGGACAGCCAGGGCTGTCTTTTAAAGATTATATATATGTATATGTATGTGTGTGTGTGTGTATATATATATATATACACACATATTACATCAACTATTTTTAAAGTGTATATTATATGTTACCACTATACCAGTAATTTAGTCTGTACATCCATCCTACTTTTACAGGCCTGCTTAATTACTTGTTAAATGATACTGTTTGAGGTGATTCTGTAGATTGAATAAGAATGATAACATGTGGTATTATGATCATAGCTGGCATTTGGTGAACTAGCAACTTTTATCTTGTTCTTCATAGTAGAGCTGTTCATCATTGTCTAGTAGTGCACACTCTCAGTCATTCAGGCAAAAGCATCAAGAGGTGTGAAGCCGGTCTGGTCTACACACCGAGGCCATGTCTCAAACAAGCACAGGACTGAGCACTTCTGCCTTGTTAGGCTTATGTGCTTTCTGAAAAGCCATGCTGTACGAGCCATGCGAGCTAACTCAACAGGGATTGGTGGGAATGCATTTCATGAAATACTGGAACTTGTGACTGGATCAGTTCTAAGTAGATGATAGACTAGGCCACCTGTTTCTGTCATGTTGGAACTTAGTGGAGCCTGAGGAGTTCCTTTGGTGATCTACTTCTTATCAGTAAATCACATAATGAAACTGCTATGTGGTTTAATATTTAAAATAGTACACTTTGTACTGATGGCTTTGAATTAACATTTCAATGTAAATTATTGTTAATATCCTATAATTTTAACAAATATGATAGATTTTCCACATGTTAGTTTACTGAAATTTTCTATTACCAACTTTTCTTGTATCATTGCTTCCCACTGTTATCTCCAGGGCACAGTTAATATTGTCTGAACTTTATATGTATTGTTTAAGCAACAAAATGTATTATTGGAAAATACACTTAAATTTTAATTTTAAAAAGTAGCTTTGAAGATTTTCAAAAGTTAATAAATTATTATAGTCAGTGTCATTTTATAAACTCATCTACAAGTGTGATATTTGTTGATTATAGAACGTTGTTTCTTTTACATTAAGAACTTTAGTCATTTTCTGTTGCTATAACGAAATACCCAAGTTGTTAACGAAGAGTTTTTGTATTAATAATTCACATTTTAAAGATCTACCTTCATGATACCCTTATCTGCTTGTCTCTAGTCAGGGCTCTTGCTGGATTACATCATGATGTATAGTGTCATGGTGGGAAAGTGTGTCAGATGGATAGGTCATGTGGCAGCAAGGCCAGAAGTGAGACAGAGTCAGAGGCCAGCCCTTCTCGTGTCCAACTAGACCAGGTTGACTTGAGAACAGCACAGGTCTTCTGTGGCTGGTGCTGCAATGTCATGTACCTCCTTCTGGATCCTTCCTTTAATGATGTGTTGCTGTCAGCATTGCCATTCTGAAGAGGGAACTTCTAGCACGTAAGCCTTTGTATGACTCCCTCACAGTCTGAAGTCACAGACATCATAGCAGTCACCTTTTCTCCACATTATCTGTAACAGAAGCACAGACTGTTGAACAGAAGAAGGATGCATTTAGAAACTGCACTGACCCTCACTTGGGTCAACTATCATCAAAATTATATTACCAAAAATTACTAGAGAAATATTTTCAATTTATGAATCTAAATTTGTTTGCAGGAAGTTTGTAGGAGTATAAAGATTGGGTAATACCTTTTTATATTACTGAAATACACCTTAGAAAGCTTTTCTTGCAGTTTTATTAATGATGCTTAAGAAAATATTGAAAGCCATGATTTCAAAAGTGTAGCGTTCTAGGTGTGATTGTCAGATGTTTCTGAGAATTTTAATGCATCCTGACGGCAGTGTTGAACAGAATGTCTTAAGCTGTCAGTCATAGTTCCATCTTCAGTGTTTATTGAATAAACTTTACAAGTGGAGCACTAGGACATTCTACAGAGCATCAAAAGCCATCTTAGAGGAGGAAGTAAGACAGGTCTGAAATAACTGAGGACCACTGTTTCATGACAACTCTGGGAGAGAACAAAGCTCAATAGCTGTAGACCCAAAGACCAGAGGACCTCTGTGGCTTAGGAGTCCCGATGAACTGACTGGGATTCCAAGTGTTGCTTGGTACAAAAGGGTGCAAGTACCAGAAGATCACAAAAGTTAAACACAGGATATGTTTGTACTGGGAGCACCCTGTCCTGGAGTGGGTTGAGACAAGACACAGAGTACTCTGATGTGGCTTTGAAGACTGGTGGGTCTCCTGGATGTTCTAGCTCCCTAACTATTCTGAAATGCCGGTGATAACTTCTAAAAAGTCTTAAAAACTTTCTTCCTCTTAATGAAGGTAAAAAGCTGCTGGTTTAGGCAATTGACCCTGTAGCATGGGGCGACATGGGGGTGAGGGGTTAAGTAATGTGGCCTTTGTTCTATCTCAGCGGGAACTGCAGGGCTCTAACTTTCAGCCTGCTAGTCTGGAAGTCTCAGGAAGAAAAGGGGACACTTTGAAAAGTGATTATAGCATTTATTTCTAAATTGTAAAGATTTTCTTATGAAAGCTATCTAAGAAAAGGGGGAAAAGCAGAAAGATCCTAAGTGGGGCTGGGGAAAATTTTTTCTCACATTCTTCTCTGTGGAGCAATAAACTTCTATTGTACCGGGAGACGAGAATAACACTTGCAGAAGGAAAAACTTTCACATAAGCAAATATGCATAAACTCACATAAATCCATATAGATTCACGCATACATTCTTATACATTTCCATTCAAACCAGTTGGGCCTAGCTTGCATAAATTCTCACAATTACACACTTACACACATACACATCCATACTTACATATGCATGAGGAGCAAAAGACCAAGCACCAGAGCAGGAAGAACTCACTCATTCTGGGTGAAAAATGAGCTCCAGTCTTTATTGCACAGAGAAAGAAAAAGCTTCTACACTTTTACTGTTAAAGGAATTAAACCCACGTTTGTAAGAAGAAAGCTTTGTTCCTTTAATAAGACAAAGCTTGCCTTGTTACTAAGAAAGGACCTGTTCTGTCCCACAGTAAGGAGAAGCCTGCCTGCCCTTCTGCTCTCTGCAGGTTCTTCTTTTGTCCTCTTTCCCTCTGCATTTGCACATTGCTCTCTTAGTTTTTATGCTACCTTTAGTTTCTAAGTTATTCCATTCTGTATTCTCCTTCTAATCTTGCTTTCTCCTCCTGCTCTGATGTCACAATAATGCGCTTACTCTCAATGCCTTTTTTTCCCAATGCTGTGCCTATATTTCTAAGTTCTTAGTTCAGTTCTGTCTAAAAAGTGTTTTGTCTAAAAAAATTCTCCTCAGCTCAGTTCTGACTCTTCTCTCTGTCCTCAGTACTTATACATCTTTCAGAATATGATCGCATGTTAAAAAGTTCATCACAAATTCACACATAAAATCAAGTCATAAATTGAAATAGAAGTTTACAACAGAGAATGTTTACATGCATATCCATTAGGAGTAATTATCTGGCTGAACATCCATCACCTGTTACAGCTCCACAGGCTCACTGGAAGTTAAAAAACATAACTAAGTTATTAGTGAGGTTTTATATAGATAAACGCAGCCAATATTTTATTTTCTGTCCTAGCACCTATAATAAATCATTAGTTCCCCTTTATGACCTTTGGTTAATTGTTTACAACCTCTTGGAATGTGCTCTGAGTAGGAGATAGTCTGGTTACTATCTAGAAGCAATTGACTGGTGACACAAGGACGACTGGCAGAGTTCTCATCGAAGTTTTGACTATCAGAAAAGGACCTAATAGCAGTCCCACTATAAACGAGCTTAGTAAATGCTGATATAATTTCAGTTCTTATAGGATCATTAGCTTGTCCTGTGATGGCTCCTGACATGTTTGGGGAAAAAAAAATTAGAAGTCTCCATTTGGATTCTCTAGCAAATTGAAAATGTATAGCATTGGGAAACAGAGCTAGGACGTTAGGGTTTGATGTAAGGGTTCTAGACAGTCTTAATAAGACTGAGAGCGTGACTACATTGATATGTAAAAGCTACTGAGGGGTTTTTAATCACTGCAATCTAGTCACAACTGTGCCATATAAAGTTGAGATCTATTAGCACTGAGAAATTTATGGTGGAACCACCAGACTAGTTACATGGAGAGGAGAATCTGAATTCAGAATAACAGAACTAGATTGTTGACAGAAAAACAAGAAACAGCCCTGAGACAGTGTATGGCCTCCCAGCTCCTGTGGAGGTAAATAGAAAGCATGAGACCAGGACTTCGATGTGCTCCTTAAGATAACCTGAATGTCCTAATGTCAGTAGGATTTAATGCTTTGTTAATGAGGTAATTTCTCAGGAGACAAAGCAGAGAGCATTTGGTAATGCAGTTCTCAGAGAAAATGGCCAAGACTTGAGATAGGATCAAAAACAAGAATCTAGTGAAGAAAAATTAATGAGTGTATTCTTAAAATAGCTGCATCAGGCTCTGGAGATGGCTGGGCAGATAAGTACACTGGCTGTTCTTAGAGAAGACCTGGGTTTAATTCCCAGGACCCACACAGCAGCTCACAGCTGTCAGTAAGTCTGAACTCACACACGCACACGCACACGCACATACCCCTGCAGGCAAAACACTGATGCACACAAAATTAAAATTAAAAATTTGAAATAAAGTAGCTGTATCCTTACAGACAAGCTTCCTAGAGACTTGTGCATGGCATTAATGGTGACCCAGATATCATCTGCACATTCTGAAGGCAGATTCCTTAGATGAATACTATTTATGATCAACAAAGTGGGGGCTATGTTTTGCATCAGTTTGTGGTGTTCATGTGAACAGACCAGGAAGTTCCGCCTCAAGCATTTCTAGATGTACTTAGTACATGTAACAACCGAAAAGATCTTCACATTTTTAGTTTTATCTAATCATGAACTGTGATGCCAAGGACTTAAGAGCTCCATCAGAACAGTCGGTGCTGGCACCAGAGGACACACGGTCAGAGTTTCTTTGGTAGCTGCCCTCCTCACTTCTGACAACTATTTATTTATTTGCATTTTAAATTTAAGCAAAGGGGAAATTTTAGCAACATAATTTTTTTCTTCCTTTTCACCTTAAAGGACATTAAAAACTTCATTTGTTTTGTGGTTGTAACGACAAAAGGTGTGGTATTTGATAAACTAAGGCAATCTCACATTTTAAATCATTCCAGATGTAAAAGACAATTCCTTCAGTAGATCGAGGAGTTCAAGTGTAACGAGCATTGACAAAGAGTCCCGGGAAGCCATCTCTGCTCTTCATTTCTGTGAGACTTTCACTCGGAAGGCAGACTCGTCCCCGTCCCCGTGCCTGTGGGTGGGGACCACAGTGGGAACCGTGTTTGTCATCACGCTGAATCTCCCCCCGGGGCCCGAGCAGAGACTCCTTCAGCCAGTGATTGTGTCTCCCAGTGGTATGTATGACCTGGTGCAGCCTGCAGGCATGTGTCCCACCTGAGACATCCTCCGGTTTTATCAGAAGTTCCAACTTTTCATTTACTGATCTAAGCACTGTAAAGAGAAGTGATATTAGTGATAGTTTTTATCTTTTAAGAAGTAATATTCTAGGACCATGGGGAAGGCTCAGATTGTAAAATCACTTGCCACTCAAGCCTGCCAACTTGTGCACAGTCCCCAGAACTCAGATCGGTTTCTTAGAGCAGGTGGTTCACATCTGTAACAGTAGCACTCAAATGTCAGGATAAGACAGGGAAACTGACCCAGAGCTCTCGGGACAGCTAGCCGCAGAAACAAGGGGCAAGAGAGACCCAGCTCTCGGAGTCGCGGCCTCATTTTCACAGGTGCTGTGTGCACAAATTAGGGTTTGTTTGCTTTTTTTAATTAAAATAAAGTTTGTAGTTCTACATTTGAAGAAAACAGCACTTATTTATTTATTTATTCATTTATAAGTCTGCAGGTCAGATTTGTATGAGTGTGCAGAGTTTATTATTTATTTGTAAATTATTAACATTTGACATTTATGTTTGGATCATGTGATAATGACATATTTTTCAGACCACTGGCTTGGGTTTTGGATTTTATCAGTGACCTGCATATCCAGTGCAGTGTTGAGTCAACAGATTTGTGTGGATTTAGTGTCAGAGTTGGAATAAGCATATTTACTCTTAATTTTTAAATGGAAGTATATACTAAACTTCTACATTCTAGGTACTATATTGAGGTTAAAAGGTGCAATCTTGAGGATGGCATTTCTGGATGCCACGGGCTGCTTAATGCCACCTGCATATGAACCCTGGAAAGAGCACAACGTTCCTGAAGAAAAAGACGAGAAGGAGAAATTGAAAAAGCGGCGACCTGTCTCAGTGTCCCCCTCCTCTTCTCAGGAAATTAGTGAAAACCAGTATGCAGTGATATGTTCTGAAAAACAAGCAAAAGTAATCTCACTGCCAACCCAGAACTGTGCATACAAGCAGAACATCACTGAGACGTCCTTCGTGCTCTGTGGAGACATTGTAGCACTGAGTAACAGTGTCTGCCTCGCCTGCTTCTGTGCCAATGGCCATATTATGACTTTCAGGTAAGAATGAGGCCATTCTTTAACACATAAACACATACAGCATTCCTGCTTGGATCACATAAAATTCAGCTTGAAAAAATAATGTATTGCTTACACACTGAGAATTTGTTTAACAGGAAACAAGGATATGAAAAATACAAATATTTTCCCTCTCTAGGTATATAAACTAAATTTAACAGCCCTAGTGATTTCCCTTTTTTTCCAGGCTATCATTCAGAGTAGTGGTTCTGAGAGTCCTGTCTCCATGTGTAGCATCATTGTACCTGTCCTATAGCATCTATAAATAACCTGTTGCATATTACCAATAAATGATTTCTTTTCCCTCAAGTTTGCCAAGCTTGAGACCTCTGCTGGATGTCTACTACCTGCCCCTTACCAACATGCGGATAGCCAGGACATTCTGCTTCGCCAACAATGGACAAGCCTTATACTTAGTTTCACCTACAGAAATCCAGAGACTCACCTACAGTCAAGAGACATGTGAAAATCTTCAGGTGAGCCACAAAGCATTGGAAATTCCGTACAGCTTGAGGGTCCTCAAATCTGTCCACACTTCTCATGAGAATGCACATAGCCGACTTGGGAAAACGCAGAGTCCTGTTGTTTTCCTGTCTGTTTTATCACATTCTTACCCTATGCTGGGTGTCATAGGGCAGCTTTCCTGTACGTGGATAACATACTTGGCCACAGCCTTTCCTTTTCTCTGCCTGCCCCTTAATTAGTTTTCTCACTGTACCCTACACAGTTTTCTTTCGGCATTCATGTTATCTATACAAACAGCTTTATAGATCAGGATAAAATCTAGAACCCACAAATGTGGGGGAAACATGTAAATTTGTCATTCTATGACTTAATTAATTTGCTTAATGCAACTATCACAGCAGATCACCAATCTGCATTTTAGCTCCAAACTGTAAGATTCGTAAAAGGAAATGAATGGGGAAAAACTCTGTCACCCTGGATTCAGCAAAGATCTCTGAGCTGCAGCCCTGTTGCTTCTTCCTGCCTCTTGTAAAAGCACGAATTGGTGACTTCACAGTAAACTTTTTTATGAGTGAACTTTTACTGAAAGTAAACTTCTAGTCTTCTGAACAGAACCATGTAAGAAATTAAGACACACCACAACTATACTAAAACGTTGATAAAGCATTTTTCTGATCAAGCTTTGTGTTTAAAAAAGGACTTCTTCCTTCCTCTCTGCATCCCTCTGTTTCCTTTTTGTCTCAATGCCCTCAGTGGGACTTCAGCTATGGTGACAGAGTGGAGAGAGCAGACTGCTTTTTGTCCCCAGTCTCAGTGGGATGGGGGAGGCCTTCTATTTTCTCTATTTAGTATCATGTTGGCCATAGGGTTGTCATGTGTTAAATGTGCTCCTTCCAGTCCTGGCCCCTGCCTTTCACTGGCCATGCCTCTCTCCAAACTTACTATCCCTTTTGCTCTGTCTGAAGACTTTTGGTAGTAAGTTCAGGGAAGACTTGACACTGTAGAAGCCTCTCTTCCCTCTTCTTGCCATGTTTCTGAAATCCCACGTGTCAGATGGTGTTTATGAAAATTGTATGCTTATAAGAAAGGAAATTGATGTTTCCAGTCAAGATCATAATTCTGAAACTGAATGTGGCTCCTGTTACACTGAATGCCTTGGCCTACAGGTAGGAAATATTCTTTCTATTAGAAGGTGACCTGATTGTCAGGCAAATGGTCAGTTCTTCTTGAATTAGATTGAAATGTTTTCTTGAAAGTCAAATACTCACTTGACATGACAGTGCAGTCCCAGGATTAAGAAAAGATCTTCTGTTCCAGGCTAGCCTTGGATATAAACCAAGACATTCTCTGATACAAAAGTTACATTGCCTCACCCTGTAAGCAGGCATACTGTCTTGTCCCTAATGCAAACAAATAGTGGGAGGAAGAAACGGCAAATTATCACAGTAAGTCTGGTCTTGGAAGCTGACTGTTAGAGTAGGTGACCATGTTCCTGATATGACTGCTCCTTACCTGTTGGTGAATCTCCAGGAGTCGTCACCACTGTTACAGCATTTGCAATGCTGACCTTGTTAATGAGATTTCTGCTTCCTGGAAACATTAACAGTATAATTTGTTTTGATTTTAAAGGAGATGCTCGGTGAGCTCTTCACACCTGTAGAAACACCAGAAGCACCAAACAGAGGGTTCTTCAAAGGCTTATTTGGAGGCGGTGCACAATCTCTCGATCGAGAAGAACTATGTAAGTTGGCTGATATCCCTTTAAGACAAAAATAGTCAATCCATATAAAATTTTTGTTATATGTATAAATTATGCTCTTTTTATATTCACTGCATCAAACTTTGCATAAAACTTTTCATTCTGTCCTCAATCAGGAAAATTTTCTTAGGTAACCAAAATCAGTATAACTTCGAATGGCACCAGAGAGAAAGCAACAGAAGAGAGATAAAGCTGGCTTTATTCATATGGGGTATCTTTCCAATACAGGGAGTTTGAACCTTGGGCTTTGTTGTAGCCTAGCAAGACTGTCGGTGGCTTACAGCTCCAACCCTCAGTTACTGACTGTGTCTGGAGCTGGGGGAAGGAGAACAGTCTGCTTCCAGTTTCTTGCCTCATAGCAGCTAAGTGAGGAGTTACCAAGGCCCCACTGTCCCCCTCAAGGGCAGAACAGTCTGTAGCTCTGTTTTTCTTTACAAGTACTGGATAAACTAGTATGCAAAACCTTAAAACCAAATCTTTATCAGTTACTATTTGTATTAGCTCTCTGTCACTGCTACTATACCACAAATCTACTGACCTAAACCAACCTGGCTTACTAGACTTCTCAGCTTCAGTTCTGTATGTAAGAAATAAGCACGGTTTATCCTGGTGCCACCGACACGCCATTCTCCATGGACGGCTCTTTTCACTTCTGGAGGTCATCTCTATTCCTTAACTCCTGGTCTCTTTGTCACTGTGCAAGTCAGTATTGCATCTCTGTTGTTCTGGATCTCCATCTCTCCCTGCCTACAAAAGCTCTTTACTCTTAAGGAGTACTGTGATTTAGTTGAGCTCACCTAACTGATGCAAAGTGTCCACTCCCCGTCTAGGTCCTTAGCTTAATCACTTGTGAAGCTCCTTTCCTATTACAGGGTGGGACATCCCTGCCTTCCAGAAATTGAAATGTAGCCATCTTGAGGAAGGGGGCATTTTTCTACCTAGCAACAGTTATTTATTTTTAGAAAAAAGAAATGGGAGTTAATTTTAGTAGAAAGGGTCTTGCCTACCACACACAGGTCCTGATTGGATGGAGAGATCGACGGATGGATGGGTGGACAGATGTGTGGATGCACACATGGCCATGAAGTAAATGTTAACAGAAATTCATAACTTCCACTGATGATATTAAAATGTATAACACTTTGTTGGGAGAAGTAAAAGAATATTCCAGTGGATCCAAATACTGAGTTCATGGACTGCATGAGTTCTCAAAAAACCTGGTGTATGCCTGTGAGAGGCACTTCCTGGGGAGATGGAACACACCTATCTGTTCATCCCAGAAAAGAAACTCACCAGAGACCAAAGTCATGATCATACCAATGTCCAACTCAGTTAATCACTGAGTTCTTCTTGGGTGTTACTGGTAACTAGGCCTATCAATGAGGGTTTCTTTGGGGAGTAAGATGGCCACAAAGCACTGCATCACAGGACCTCTCAGCACAGGTGATGACTAAACAAGCTGCAACCCTAGACTCTGCACAGCTTGAAGGCAGCTGGATGGTCCAGGAGTCCCCTCTCCACAGCAGAGCTGACCTCTTCTCCACGGCAGATGTCTGTTCCTGTAAGGTGGAGAGAAGGCTTAGAGACTTTGCCTGAGTTCCTGCCTGCCTATCTAAACAGGAAGTTTTGCTTACCTCTGGGTCTCATGTGCCTCCCTCTCCTGCTAACAGGATACTTCAGTTCAAGGAAACTGCTGAACAATAGCATGAATGTGTGCACACCTACACATATGTACATATATAATGACATTCTAAACTAAGTACTTACCCTACAATGTGGCTAGTGGTAAATTTATGCAGAAGTCAGAGGAATCTTGCCTCCTCTTTTCAAATTACAGGCACAAACCAGTATAATCACACAAGAAAAGAAAAAGAAACATGCATAGATTAGAGTGGAGAAAGTAAAATTGTCTGTATTGTCACATAACACAGCTTGATGCTAGATGATCCTAAGAAAACTAGTCTAAAGTAAATAAAGCTGATAAACAAGGTAGCAAGGCGAAAGGAGCCAAGCTGTGTCTTTAAAGGCTGCCTGTATTTCTCTATGCTAACAATGAATAATCCAAAAATGTAATCCAGGAATCAGCTTCAGTTATCTCATCTCTCAGTCCGTGTCTGTGCGGACTTCCTGAGAGAAAGCAGTAGGATGTGCTCCCCTCACGGTTAGATGGAGTGCTCAGAGGAGCACTGATGTTAGCTCTTCTCTGAGTTCTGCATTGTAAAATAAACCACCTAAAAATAACTTCACCAACAAGCAAAAGATAAGATATTCTCACTAAACTTTGAGTGTGTTATTTAAAGAAATTAACAGGTATACACAACAGCTTCTCATGTTCTTGGGTTTAAGGACTTTTTTTTAATCCTACTGAGATATCAGCACTGCTCCTCAAACCAATCTGAACAATCCCCACTAGACTCTGAATGTTTGCATGATATGATAAACAGTTACTAAAATTTACATGAAATAAGGAAGTAAAGATAACCTTTCCACATACAGAAAAATCTCATGTTTTCATAGTTAATTTTATGTTTAATGAATACTATAGAATGAAATCAAGAAGGTGAGTAGTTTCCACTGGCCATCACAGTAGTTCATAAACATAATACAGGACATAATAAATTAAATAGTTATGTACAAATGAGTGGCTTTTAAAATAATTCCTATGTGGCTGTAATAAGGCATCCTTTTAAAATATGTGGTATGTGTTTTGAGGTTTCTCTACTACACAGCACCAAGAAAGAATTCTTACAGCTTTCCAGCAATGACTAGATACCTATCCATGGAACTCTAGCTCACTATTTCCTCCCCGCTGTGACTCTCAGAAGTCTTAAAGGAAAAGTGAAGGCTGGAGACATAACTTTCCATCACAAAAGTTACACAAAGCTCTAGTCTGTAAGACAGTGGGGTATTGGTGTGACGTAGCAATAATATACAATTGAGAGTCCAAAAGTTAGCCAATAGCATTTTTAGTCAAGGATTTTCCTCAAGGATGCTGTGAAAATCCACTGATGAAATAATGGACCTTCCAATATATTATGTTGACACAGCTACTAGGTGTCCACATGGGTAAAACCAACATCATGAAAATTAAGTCAGAACAACCAAGGACTTGTACATTAGAGTTAAAGCACAAAGCTCTTTGAAGGAAATGAAATAAACTTCTGTCCCCTCTGTTAGTCAGAGGTTAACCAGATAGTTCACCTGAGTTACAAACAACCAGAGAATTAATGAAGTAAATTATAGTTTATCTATGTGAAAATGCTATGTTTCAAAAAAATAAATAAATAGCAAGAAGAGAAGATTCAAATAATAGGGTAAACTACATACATACCATATGTGATACCTGATAAAGTCTGCATCCAGATATACAAAGAACTCATAATTCCATATTAAAAGAATAAATAACCCAATTTGAATGAATAGAAGGTTTGGATTTCTTAAATATTCTTGATCAGTAATCATCAGATATCGACCATCATTTGTCATTCAGAAATAGTGTGTATCAATGCCATCATGTTCACTAGGATAGCTGTCATCAGAGGGACACACGAGGATTAGAAGAATGTAGAGAAACTGCAGCCCACATTGCAGGTGGAGATGAAGTGACATTTCCTTTTTAGAGATCTGACCCCTAGACCTCAGAAACGCCAACGTTGAGTTCCCAAGTGCCCCAGACTGTTTCACAGCCATTCTATTCCCAGGCATATATACCCAGGAGAACTGAAAACGCATGTTTACACAAAGACTTCCACAAATGTTCAAGGGAGCACTATTTATAATAAGCCAAAAACGCAGGAACAACTAAAATCCATTGGTGAGTGAGAGGACAAGAAAAATATGGTGTACCTTTAAAATGATACACTGTTTAGCCAGGAGGAACAGCACTGATGCATGATGCTACACAGATAAACCAGGACAGTGTCCTCAGTGAGAGAAGTCAGCCACTAAAGGCCACAGGCTGTGTGGGTGTGTTTATATGGAATATTTATGGTAGGCAGATAGATGGAGCTAAAATAGAGCAGGACCAGGAAAAAGGAGAGTAGACAGTGAGGGTAACAGGCCACGGGCTTCCTTGTGGGCCGTGAAGACATTCTGGGATTGCGAGAGTGTAAGGGAGGTTCTTACGGTTCAGGGAAAGAAATAAAAGTACAAGGCCATACAACTGGACTCTAACCACAGGTTCTGATACGTGCTGTGAGCTGGGTGTTAGATAATCAGGGCCTAGGTACTGAATGCTAGGGGCAAACAAGCTATCTTAACAAAAAAGTATGATTTTACATATTTGAAATGTGGAAACATTAATAGAGACGAAGAAAGTATGTCTACAGGTCTGAGTCTGAAAACTTAAACTTAACTATAGTGCTAGCAGCCCAAAAGGCAGTTTTAGTATGAGACCTACAGCAGCAGCGTACCCGCATCTCCCAACAGTTGCTAGCTAGCCTTGCTTCCCCAAATTTCTGCTGTATGATCTGGGAGAAAGTAGGATGTTTAGAGTAGTGCTCTGTAGTTTTGTATCTTTGAAAAAGCATCTAGAAATAATTTAAAACCACATAATAGAGGTATGTTATAAAGTTAAATATTAATATTGTATTGCCAAAAATTGTACTCTAATGTTTATTTTTCTCCAATTCACTAAAACCTTCCAGTTGGAGAGTCGTCCTCTGGAAAGGCCTCCAGAAGCCTTGCACAGCACATCCCAGGCCCCGGTGGGATTGAGGGTGTGAAAGGAGCTGCATCTGGAGTGGTGGGGGAACTTGCCCGAGCCAGGCTGGCCCTCGATGAAAGAGGACAGAAGCTCAGTGACTTGGAAGAGAGGACTGCAGCCATGATGTCCAGCGCAGACTCGTTTTCCAAACATGCTCATGAGGTATGCCTGGCACTCGATCACCCAAAGAGTTAGATAAAGCAAATAGGAAATGACTACATTTTGTAGATTCAGTTATTTGTATAAAGATATACTTTGTATAATTTCAAGTACCAGTTTTTACCACAAGAGGGAACCATACAAGAATCTGGCAGTGGTTCCTGGCCTCTCCTGGACATTCTGAAGGAACACACCTACCTTTAGGACATTTGCCAGCAAAGCAATGTAGAAGCTTTGCAGCTGTTTGTCAGTGATCTCAATAATAATACCGTCCTTCCTTAACTCCTCAAAGTTTGAAACCACCTTGTCCTAAGAAGGAAGTCGGTTGCCTCCTGGAGTCTTCCTAATAGGTCTAAATAACTTCAATCTGTTATGATATTGACTCTCGTGTGCCTTGTAGACTAATGCATAAGGAGAAGTAGTGGGAAAGCTTTTGTAGTGAATTCATGGACCTCAGAAACAGATGCCGCAAAGCAAAGGGATCCCTAAATGAAGTCCACACCTTATCCTTGACCTACTGGTCTCTATAATATGAGCATTCCCTTAGTTTGTGAACCAGTAGACATCTCTTCTTTGGTTGTGTAATATGAAGGAGATCATTTGACCTGAAAGATACTTGTCTAGAGCATCTGTGGCGTCAGGGTACCCACAAGTAACCCCAAAGTAAGCGAATAACCTTCAGTGTCGGGCAGGATTTGTATTGCCACAGCCATGCACAGCACAAGCACTTCTGCCACCTTCAGTGTCTGCACACTCCAAAGATAAGACACGGTTGCCTTTTCCTTCCACAGATGCAGGTTTTAGACACACCCAAGAGTCTAATGAGGAGGGTACATTGAGCTGTGTTCATGGACTCTAGAATTCAGATTGCCAGGCCCAATCCCAGATCCACCATTCTATTAACCTTGAGTAAAACCTAGAAGCCTTGGGGTTTTATTATAAAATGAAGAGGAAGTATTGCATACCCCAAGAATTATACAGAGCAGTTGAAATGGAGTAAGGAACATTTGTTGTCTGGCTTACAGCAATGGCTCAGTAAACCTGAGATGCAGTAGTTTTCTGGCCTTTTTTCTCTAGTCCTTTAAAACATTACTTTCAGTTCTAATTAGAAACATGACAATTGCCTTATTCTTGAGTTATTTGCTAAGGCACTAAACTTTGTCACACATGAAACAGGAATTATAGTACATATTAGAAACAAGCACCTTCTAGGATAATTTTGAATATAGCCATTTTTTATCTAAATAAAATAATTCATGCTACTTTAAATAAATTCAAGTAAGCCAGGTATGATATTGGTTCAGAATGTTCCAGAATGATATGTTTTATAGACACAAGTTATAAATAGTTTTTGGAATTTTGAAAATATATTTTTCTTGATGGTTTTTGCCTCTTTTAGATGATGCTGAAATACAAAGATAAAAAGTGGTACCAGTTCTGACAACTAGAACTCAGTAAGTCCAGCTTCAACCTGAAGGAAAAAGAAATTTCCTTGTTGATGTCACTGGTGTATTTGGGAAAGATAACATAAAAGGGACGCACATTGCTGAAAACTTCTTTCCCAGCACAGTCATGCACTGTTTTACCTCAGTCACACGGCTTTAACTAAGAGGAATCCCCATGCGTGCAAACCAGAGCATGTGGCGTGTGCTGGCTCTGAGTTGACAAACAGAACCAAGTGGGGACATGCTGACGGATGAACATCCAGAGGATGCTGAGAAGTCCTGGAGGGCTATTCCTTGGATCATTCCTGTATTAAACTTTCGTATGCCAAAAGATTTTGTGCCGTTGTATCTGCCATCAGTGTTTGATCCGTGGAGAGAGGCAATAAACCAGAAGTTGTAAGTCTGCAAAGGTCACTTTGTGTCTGGACTGCATTGTGAACAGCTGTCTGCACTCACCCTCTCTCACAGTATCGTTAGTGAAAAAGCAACAAACTGTCCCCTTCTCATTAGACTGCTGGATGGTGGGCTTTAAGCAGTCGAAGCACACACACGCAGCTAGTGTGCGTGATCCTCTTCTACTCTCGTTGGTACAGACTGTGTTCAGTTCTTGTGTTTGCAAAAGCAAGTCAAGGTAATACGTCACTTTTCATGGAAAAGCGCGGCGCGTGACTGAGTCGTTCATCTTCTGGGAGTTTCCATGTGGTGGCCATGCAAAGAGGAAAAGTGAGAAAGCCTCCGTTGTGGTGAGGAGAATTCGTCAATGTCTTTTGTCCCTGTTCACATCAACTCAGCTGAAAGTAGACTTGACCAAAACAGTTACTGATTACATTTGTAGAAACGTTGAAATTGGCTAAGTTTTTAATTTTGCTTGAATTTTTATAAAATGTTTAACCAAATGTACTCTTGCATTATTTAATTAAAATTGCTAAAACAACAGTGTTTTATCATTTCAGTAAAGTGCTCAGCTCCCTTTTAAAAATGCCCTCCATTTGCTCACAGTTCCAGTACACTCAGGGGATGAGCCAGTTTAATCTTAGTGCGCACGCTGCCGCATGGAAAACTGCAAGTGTCTCTTGTCCAGTTACCCGAGAGTCTAGTCGGATGAGCTATAAACTGTCACCCGTAGACTACGTCACACTGTACATATCCTTTTGGAATACTAAAAGCAAAAAGAAAGGAAAGTAGGTTCACATCAGTCACTAAGTTTTTTTCTGTAACCAAGAGTGCTGTGCATTGGAGAGCAGTAGACACAGAATGATTGGTTCATGCGTGGCAGCCTAGAGAGGAAGCAGCCTGTGACTGTGACGCAGTCAGGGGCTGTGATTGCTAAAGCCACAGAGGAAGAAGGGAAGGGAAGTTGGGGTCGTGAACTTTACATACTGTCTCCTATGACAGACTGTACTGAGTCACCGTCCTTAAGAGTAAGCAGGGCACAGACCGCAGGGAAGCATGGCTGTCTTCTGTTCTGTTTGATAATTAAGGTTCCTGTCAGTCCTCCTCACTTCTCAGCCTGCCACTTGCCCGTGTCTCTTTCATTAATAATTCTTTTGTTTACATTTTATAATGTGCACTACTGGACATAAAAGTTTACATCAAAGTTTACTTTAAATAGCAAAAGGTGAGGATTAAATATATGTGGTGAAGAGAATTGATCAATAGAAAAATGTTTGTAAACTATAATCATTTTTAAAAATTTCTGAATCTGTAGAAAGTAAAAAAAAAACATTCGTTTCATGTCTGCTCTCTGAACATTCAGCAATTTACGAATTGCATAATTTACATTATATATATTGTCCATTAAACCCATGTTCCATGGTACCTCATTGGAAGAATGGGATTCTTTTTTTAAAGGAATAGTTTTATGAATATCGATAGTCGAGAGTTTTAAAAAGTTCAAAAGCACTAAGTATCTAATGCACTGCTTGACTCTGTGCGGAGCCTCAGCTGGTTAATGTGTTGTGTTATTTGCATATCAGATTCCTTTCTACAGTCATTTTAACTCCTGTAAGTAAGATGAATCAAAGTTGTAATTATTTATTAATAGAGAAGTAGATAAGTTTATCAGAGTTGGATTTTATGAGAACATTTTAATTCATTATTTTAAATTATTTGTTTTTATTTTAATTAATCTACATATTGTGCACAACAATCTAAGAAAGTACAAAGTATTTTTAAGTAGAAAAAAATGAGCTTCCCAGAGCTGCACCTGATGATGCAAAGCCAGTTCACAGTGATAACTGGCCCAGGGGATGGACTGCAGTCTGAAATGGTCTGTCTCCTCCCAACCCACTCCTGTATTTTTTGATGCAAAAAGTAGTAGCCACCAGCAAGTCAGTTTCAGGAACTTTAACAATAACAACCACAAAAGGTCAAAAAATAATTTATCAAAAAATGAAAGTGTGTGTGTGTGTATGTGTGTGTGTGTATGTGTGTGTGTGTGTATGTGTGTGTGTATGTGTGTGTGTGTGTGTGTCTTCTCTGTACCCTCTTTTGTCTTTAATTATGAAATTTAAGTACTCTTCAGTTAACTTTATTGATGGGAAGAAATTTCGCTGTATGTACCATGTAACAAATTCATTTCATTTTGCAAACTAAAATCAGTCCCTGTTTGCTTAGGATGTTGTTATTTGAAGTATCTCATTTTGTCAAAATCTTTCTGTGTGTAAATATGGCATCACGGTAACACCCACTCACATTCTGGCCCTACCACTTCTAAAAACCGGTTATAGATGTAACAAAACCTGTTCCTGATTTGAGGTTTTCATGGGAAAATACTGCTATGTACATATGCATATTATTACAGGTATGCTGCACTTTCATCAAGAACATTTCCTTAAGGACTCACTGAAGTCAGTTCAGGCAGACATTTGCGGCAGTGAGCCAGGTCTGAGAGTGCATATGTTTAGAATATGTGAGATGCTGAGAGACAGGTGAGGAACAGAGGGGGTGGTTCCAAGTTTTACCCTAAGTTCTGTATTCGAATCGTGTGCTTTGCTCAAGGCATTTCGCATGTGACATTAGTAAAGCTATCTCCAAAGGGTTTTTTTGTTTGTTTGTTTTTGTATCTGTTTTTCTTTTTTTGTGGCAAAGATTTATTTTAACTTGGGGGATTTTGTTTGTTTATATGTTTCTGCAAAATAAAGAGCACTGAACTTTAAACTTGAATTTTTTTCTGCACTTTTTTAGGTCATGACTTTTTATTGTCCTTTATTTAATCTGCACTTTTCACTTTAAATCAAGTGATACTTGTGTATGAGACATACCAAAATCGTGACTATGCTGCTAGTGTTGCCTGAGACCAGTCAGCTCTAAAACCTTTAAGAGGGCTTTATATAGCTTTTAAAGATTAGAAACCAACGAGATTATCTGCTGTATGTTTCTGTGGTCCTAATCTTTTTTGAGACACTTTCGGGTTGTTTTACAATCACACAGTAACATGCTATGTTTATATGCTGCTAGAAAGTATTCTTTAAGTTTTAGATGAATTTTTATAAATGTAGTCTTTAATTTTAAAAATATGGTGAACTTGTTAAGTCAAAGTACTTAAAATGTATGTATATTCTCCATACAGAAAGTTGTGTTTTGCCCTTATACTAAGAAATACTGGTATCTCATTCCAGATACGTTTAAGTTTTAAAGGGTCATGCGTTATTGAAAAGCCTTCACACATGACAAAATACAATTATGTAGTTTAAAGAAAAAAAAAAACCTCTGCCGAATATTTTCAAATATTGATTTTTTTTTGAGGGGAAATGTCCACAACAATAATTTCTAGAACTTTTCTGTAGCTTCAGCTTGCTGTTGGATGCCTATTTTAGCTATTGTTTTAAAATACATATATATATATATTGAAAATGATTTTCCAGATATTTTCTTCTACCTTTTTTAAAAATAAATTTCCAAAAATGGAAACAGAGTTTATGTATTTTTGTCAATGAAGGTTTTTTTTATTTTATAGTTTATAGAATTTGTTCCTTATCAGTTTGATACTTAATCAATATTCCTAGGCTTTTGAAATCTATATTTACTTTGAAAAGAACACTCCTATGTAGCCAGTGTCCCTTCTAGTCTTCCGTTTTTCTTTTCAGTGTTTGTTCTGGGTTGAGATTGATGCCCTGGTGTGCTTCTGATTTGGAGATGAATATGCAGCGGCTAGCTTTGCAGGTCGGTCGCTCCTTCCTCTGATCCACTGTAGAGTACTGCAGATGCCATGACTCTCTTACTTCAGATGCTGTGAGGGTTCTGTGGACAGAAGACAGTTGTTGCAAATGACAACAGCAAAGCTGCAGCTTAGCTTTTCTGAGAAAGTGAATGATTTTAGTAACTTCCCAGTTCTGGGTGTGAAGTTACTGGTTTAGTTCTTTTATGTATTCAGCATTGGCTCCAGAGTTGCTTAAGGGTGACCTCTTCCTGTTCCTTAGAGGAAATGGGATTATACAGCTGCCAGTATTTTTCATTGAGGCACATAGTTTAAACCTTTATTGTCTATAAGATAGAAATAGTGTCAACTCATTGTAGGCCATTTGACTCAGGCATTTAAAATGGGTGTAGGCTAATTGTAGAATTCTATTTATGTGAGTTTGGGGTTCTGATTTTTTTAATACTATTTATATTTGCTATCTAAACTTTTCCCCAATCAAAGAGTGTGTATTCGTTTCAGACAGACTTAACATATACTGTGAAGTAGTGCAAAGATGAGAAATAATGGTTTGATTTCTTTCTTTTCTTTTTGTTTTTGTAAATAGTTAAGAGATACTTTAGGTGTGACCTCTGCTCAACAGGGTAGCTAGTCAGAGGTGGGAGTACTGTCTAGTTACATTTTGTTTCGTTGTAAATGTATTTCAAAAGAAAACCCCACCCAGTTATAAAACAGACAGATTTAGTTTCCTAGAGTTTTCCAAGCTCAGGGCAAGCATGCTTGGTCCAGAATGCTAGCCTGTGTGCCAACATCATACGCACTTTTCATCTCCTGCATTTTCTCTTTATGTTTGCTCAGTGCGTTAACTGTTTCTAAGATAATTACTGGGATATGCTTTCAAAGTACAGTTTTTTTTAAAATTATCTGTGTAACGTTTCATTTTCGAAAAAGCACTATTGCAAACACTGAAAACCATCCTCAAACTGTGTAGTTCTTTTGCGTTTCTGTAACTTAATCGGAAAAAAATACTGTCATCACAGCAAAAGGTTCAAAATTAGGTGATGAAATATTTTTGTAAATAAATACCATTAAGCTGGTATTTTTAAGAATGTATTACAAGTTAATGTTTCTGGGAAATGTTCATATATATGTATATGAATTTCTTTGCTGAAGGGCTCTGACTGGACAAAATAAAATACTCTAATCCCTTCTGAAGCAAAAAAACAAAGCCCTTTTTTTTCTGGAAATTTGTTTTAATGTTTTTCTGAGTTGTAGAATTATCACATTAATTGAAGAAAATAATCCAAAAAAACAAAAAGCAAAAAAAAACAAAACAACAACAACAAAAACCAAAAAACAAACCATGGTCACTTTTCCAAAGATGTATTAATAGGTAATTGAGAGCACAGACCCCGATTCTTGGTGAAAGTCTCCTCTCCTTGCTAGCCACGTAGTAGGTGGGTGGGCTGGAATGGGGCCAAGAGCTAGATCTAAATGCACACAAGTAACCCGGGAGGCTTTTGGAAATACCAGTTCTGAGTCCGTGCTTGTGAGCAGGGATCTGAGCTGACATCTCAAAGGCGGCTCCACTAAAAACCACTTGTTTGGTCTGTGGAACATCCTTTGATTAGTGAAGATAATAGGTATCTCCATAGTTAGAATTTTGTAACTGATTTGTCATCATCAGTGTGTAACTACTTATATCAAAAAATGAGAATCCAATTAATGAATCTAGAATAAAATCTCTCAGGGAATGCTGATATAATTCTTGTGCTTGTTTCTAGATTTCTACTTCTTA